ATCAACGCAGAGGTCAAACTCTGCGTTAAGTTTTCAAACGCACTGTTCTAATCTGGCGTTATTTTCATCAACGCAGAGGTCAAACTCTGCGTTAAGTTGTTGAACGCACAGTTCAGACCTGGCGTTAATTTTCATCAACGCAGAGGTCAAACTCTGTGTTAAGTTGTTGAACGCACAGTTCAGACCTGGCGTTAATTTTCATCAACGTAGAGGTTAAACTCTGCGTTAAGTTGTTGAACGCACAGTTCAGACCTGGCGTTAATTTCCATCAACGCAGAGGTCAAACTCTGCGTTAAGTTGTTGAACGCACAGTGCAGACCTGGCGTTAATTTTCATCAACGCAGAGGTCAAACTCTGCGTTAAGTTGTTGAACGTACAGTTCAGACCTGGCGTTAATTTTCATCAACGCAGAGGTCAAACCCTGCGTTAAGTTTTCGAACGCACAACAGTTCAAACCCGGCGTTAAAATTTCACAAACGCAAGGGTCAGGCCCCTGACGTTTCGAATTCAAAACACAGAGTCTTAACTCTGCGTTACAATAATAAAATGAGTCTTCTTCCTCGTTTGCAAGAACCCATCTAGGGTTTTCTCAAATAACTTGCCGAAGCAAGTTTGACGGCGATACATCTCGGGTTTTTCTAAGAACTCTCCGAAGCAAGTTTGACGGCCACGAAGGGCGACACTTACCACCGACGAGGGGAACCTGAGGCGGCGGCGCTGCTGCAGCAGGAGATCTTGGGCGAGGAGCAGCTTTCTTCTTGGAACCCATGGAGAATAAGGATCAGAGAAGATGAACAGGGTCACCGGAGTTGAAAACGAAAAGCCTTCGTTAAAAAAAAAATCTTCCGAAAGAGAATAGTCAAAAAGTCGGGTGACTTTTGATTTGGCCCCTAGCAGTCTATTTATAGACAGCTATGAGCTGTCAAATCGGGTCGGGACTCTAGGTCCAAAATCCCGCCAAACGTGACCTGTGCGCCTGTGTTGCTTGAGCTTCTGAACGCAGAGTTCAGCTCTGCGTTCTAACGCCCTAGCACAGAGAATCCGCCTGTGCGTCTACATTGATTAAACTCTTAAACGCAGAATTTAACCCTGCGTTTCAGTTCGATAACGCAAGAAATCTATCTGTGCGTTCTAATTCAATCAGATGAATTACTCTATGTTTAAAGCCAAGACATGGTTCTAAATAAATAGAGGGAGGCTAATGTCAGCCATCAAGGTGACTAAAGCCAAGAAGAAATCAAAGAACATCTGCCAAACTGTAGGCTGTCTAAAAATCACAATAGATAGCTGATCCCTATCAAGCCCTGATAATGGAAGTTACAATCAGACGACTTTCTAATCACTGCATCCGCAACTCTGCAACCGCTATAAACACGGCCTCATCTCTGAGATGATTGATCTTGATGGCTGCGACAACAACATGACTAATGTTATATTAGCAACTATTAGAGATGCTGATGAGCAGTGTAATGATTTCAGAAATAAAAGGTTGGACTTAGTTGGTGAGTTGCTTGGTAGAGAGCTGTGGGCAAATATTCGTCCAGAAGACACTATGGATGTTGATTCCCATCAAGCTCCAACAACGGAAGCTACAATCAAATAGCTTTCGCGCCGACAATCGAAAGCGGCAAATGGGAGACTTTTCATACAGATCGGGAAGAGTTACAATTCGACGACACTTCCGACAGCTGATGAAAACTCTATTCAGTGGCCTTCACAATCGATGGTGAGAGTTACAATCTGACGACTCTCATATCTTATAACAGGCAAAGATCAATAAGCAATGGCCTTTGCAATGTCATATTAGACGAGGTTACAAGTCAACAACCTCTCTCAAACGCAGAAATTCACTTATGCGTTTTTCAAATTCGAAACGCACACAACCTGTGCGTTCTCCAGCAACCATCTAACTCTGTAACGCAGAGTTGAAGCACAAAACGCACACGTAACGTGCATTCTTTGACATACTCAACTATGTGCCCCAAACTCTGGACGCAGAGTTGAACTTCAACGCACCAGCGACATGTGCGTTTCCAATTTCAAAGTGCATACGGCCAGTGCGTCTCAAATCCCCAACGGAGATTTAACCCTGCGTCCTAAGTCTTGGACGCAGAGTTAAAGCCCAGAACGCCATCTGAGGCATTTTGACTTGTTCAAACGCAAGCCAAACGGCCTCAAAACCGTTATCCCACGTTCTGAGGGATTTTCGCCCACTTAGGAGCGGATTTAGGGGTCGGTTATACCCCTAATCCCCCTATAAATAACCGACTTACTCAACTGAGTAGGGGGTTGATCGGTTTCTAACAGTAAAACCGCATAAGGTTAAGGAGAGCTGGCATCAAAACCGCCTAAGGTGAACAAATCTCAGCAGTTCAACAGCACGAAGAAGGAGATCTTTTGAAGATCAAGGAACTGATCAACGATCAGTTAATCAAATCCCAGAGGATCCCTTCGTCAACGACATAATCCACTTGGCAATTAACCGAATCTTCGGTTCCAACAACTCTGTTACAGAGTTTCAACTCGCTCTGAGTTCTGAAACTCATTTAAGAGTTCGTAATTAGGCTTGCAACGCAAGTTAATTACATCAAACCAGTTATTCGGTTCTCAACAACTCTTATCAGAGTTCTCAACTCGTTCTGAGTTCTTTGCACTCGTCAAGAGTCCTAAACCGAAGTCATCAAGCAATTCAATCGGTTTCGTGAGATAGAACGGTCGGATCGTCAACGGAGAGCAAGTTCGATACAAGCATTCGAAGGAGGCACTCCATCGCTACCTAGAAGAACCCAGTTTTAAACAAATGGAAGAATCAAATTCATTCTCCTCTCTTTTGTAATCGGAATCCAAATTGTAATTGATTTTGAGAGGAATACAAGTCAAATTTTTCTTTCATTGTCTTTTTACTGCAAATTTCCAACAAACAAGGGGCTGTTTGGTTGGTTGAGAAACTAAGAAAAAAAAATCAAAACATCCGACACACCCATGTGAAGGTGTTTGATTTCTTTCTTTTTTTGTGTGTTTAGTTGAGAGAGGAAAAAAAAGATGTGTTGTGCATGTGTGAGCCACCAACTAGTAAGATAATAGTGTTAAGGGTCTTAAATTTAAGGAAACTCATTTCCTTCCAAAAAGTCATGAAATGGACTTAAAAACATGAAAACTGTGTCTCACAACCTGTTTCCGATGAGTATTCTTCCAAATTTGGGTTTCTAGACAATGAACCAAACAACATCTTGGGCGACACCTATCTTGTTACTAGTTATCTCACTGGGGCCCATGTGAGATCAGACAACTCTGGTGTCCTCCTTGTCGATGAAGTGCTCCTCACGTAAAAAAAAACCAAACAGTAGCTGCAAAAGGTTGATGACTTTAAATAAAAATTCTATTAAGCCGCGATCATCAGATCAGAACCAGAAATCATTTTTGTATTTGTTAGTTTCAAATTTAATTATTCCCACTCTCATTTAGTAAAATATTATGTTGTAAATTCATCTTGCTGCTAGTTTTATTGTTTAAATTTCTTTTCAATGTAATATCATTTTAACTTTGCAGGTTGAAATTATTCATCCATATAGTTTAGGAGATTTGTTAACCAACTAATAAATTCATGAGCGTTTGCTTATTGTAGCGCTCATTTTCTAAATTAGCCGAAATTAAAAATGTCGCGAACCGTTGTGCAATGTCAAGACGCGTGAAGATCTATAATATCAGCATCTCAAATCAATAAAAGCCCCTCTTACCAGCCACGTAGCATGTGGTTAGGGCCTGTTTGGTTCAATAGAGGGTAGGAATAGGATTAGGAATCCAATTTTATTTATGGATTCCAACCTAATCTATAAAAAATTTATAGACATGTTTTAGTTTTATGGAAGAAAAATTCCCCAAGAACCCAAAATATGGGACCAATAGAGGGGACAAGTGAGGTGTCCCCTCCTATTGGATAATGAGTTGATCATCATTAATGATAGCCAACTCATTATCCAATAGGAGGAGAACACCTCACTTGTCCCCTCTATTGGTCCCATATTTTGGGTCCCTGTAGCAAAGCTCTAAAAAAGAGGAGAGGTGTCAGAAATTCCACCCAATTCCTAGCAAATGGACTAGATTTGGATTTCCTGAAATATACACTGTTTGAGCCACTTTATAGATTAGCAATTCTATAAATTTTTTTTGAACCAAACTCAGGATTAGGATTCATTTGGAATCTTGGTTCAATAGAGGGTAGGAATAGGATTAGGAATCCTATTTTATTTATGGATTCCAACCTAATCCATAAAAAATTTATAGACAAGTTTTAGTTTTATGGAATCCCTTTTTTTTTTGTATTCTATGTTTGTTTCACCCAAAGGATTAGGAATAGGATTAGGAATCAGAATAAAAAAGAGGAGAGGTGTCAGAAATTCCACCCAATTCCTAGCAAATGGACTGGATTTGGATTTCCTGAAATATACACTGTTTGAGCCACTTTATAGATTAGCAATTCTATAAATTTTTTTTGAACCAAACTCAGGATTAGTATTCATTTGGAATCCATTAATTACGAAAACGTCATTGTCAGGTACAAATATCATTCATATTCCATAAAATTGATGAAACAAAAGGGCCCTTAGAGTCACTGGTAGGTAACCAGAAATCGATATTTTTTCTGTGCCGAAAATACCCTTATCAATCAATCTGTTTCACATGCGCGTCCCGTAACGGCTCCCGCCAAAGAGGGTTAATGCGTGGCAATTCCGGTATTATTTTGAAAAGCTGAGGGCATAGTTATTTCATGTCGTTTCCCCTGCCATTTAAATTCTATCCTCACCAGCTGTTGAGGAAGCAGATAGAGAGAGAGAGAGCCGACGATGGTGCTTCGAAACCCTGATAATGGCGAAACGCTTGAGGAGCCCCCAAACCCTAGAGATGGTGGGAAAATCCCAAACCCTAGCTCATCCCGCTCGTTCTTCGATGACGCCGACAGCAGCTGCTC